AAAAAACACCCCAATTACAAATCGATTTTAGAAACAAATTTTTTCTTGATCAAACAGGCCTACTAAAGAGAGCTCTGGCCTAGGCTGGTTCATGAGGTCACCAAGGGTCAGAAGCAATTGAACAAATAAACAACAGAGGTAGCCAGAGTGGGTTGAGTGTCAGACTAGGGCTCCAGAGATCAGGTTCGAATCCTCACTCAACCAAGGAAACCTGCTGGGAGGCCTCGGGTGAGGCGTAGACTGGCACCCAGGGCACCAAGCACACCTGGTCCAACAACACATCACTGTCATATGTTCTGCAGTTGATGGTGCTTGGTGATGGAAGGGTTAATGTAAGTATTAGTTGAGTAATCTGTAAGTAAGAGTTCATGGGTGAAAGCAGTTAAGGGCGGAAGTATGTAAGCAATAGGCCTGGGTAACAACGGAAAAATTTGTTTCTAAAATCAATTTGTATTTGGGGGGTTGTTTTGTTTCGATATTTAAAATAATTACAAAATTTTCCTTTTAAAAAGTTCGATATTTACGAAATTTCGTAAATGGTAAAAATTTAACGAATCGATTTCTGAAACAATAACGAATCGATTCGTTAATGGCGGACGCGACCGCGAAATACGCTAAAAAACCTCCAAAACCTTCTGAAGCTTCCCTCTCCCTCTGTTGTTGACTGTTGGTGTGATATTATAATTTTTTTTCACTAATTAAACCATAAAACTGGCCCAGACATGCGGAAATAATAGCGAAACGACCTCAAAACAATAACGAAACGAATACAATATCGAAATACGAAGCATTTACAAAACGTTTTTGAAAATTCGTTTTTTTTTAATAATTGCTCCAGAATGGTTCGTTATCGTTTTGTAATTGAAAAAATTAACGAATTATTAACGAATTACGAATTAACGAAACGAAACCGCCCAGCCCTAGTAAGCAACTGGGTGTTTGTGGATATAAGGAGCGAGCCTTGGAAGTGATCTTTGGGAGAAAAGTATTGTCATATATTGGTGGTGGGTGTTACTGGTTTTTCCCCCAGGTCTGTTGGATTTTCGGTACCCTGATCAGTCTCCGGTAATATTGGAAGCCTTGAACCTTGAACCTTTGGACTAGCTTTTGGACTACGGTATAGACTCTTGATCCCTGGACTTTGTTTATTGAACTCTTGGCGCTTGACCACTGGACTGGACCCTTTGACTACGGTGTAGCTTTTGCTATCAGTTTTTGTTTATTCTGTGGCTGAGTGCTATCTTTATGTTTTATATTTTGGACTATAAATACAGCCAGCAATTAAGAGCTGTTTTAATTAAACTGTTTGATAAAAGGCGTTACAGTAGTCCAGTCTTGAGATGACCGTGGCCTTGATCACTGTAGCCAGGTCATCCCTGGACAGGTAGCGGGCCAGCCGTCTAGCTTGCCGCAGATGAAAAAAAGCGGTTCTGCTAATGGTGGAGACCTGGGCCTCCATCATCAGCAGAGGGTCCAAAAGGACTCCCACACTCTTTACCAACGATGACGGGCGTAGCGCCTCGCCATGCAGGGTAGGCAGCTGGAGATCCCCACTGCCCGGTCAACCCAGCCGTAGGATCCCCGTCTTTGCTGGATTCACACTCAACCTGCTGGCACACAGCCATCCAGTCATGGCCTCGAGGTACTGATGGAAATAATAATCGGGTACAGAGTCCGGTCTGCCCTCCATCCTCAGTACCAACTGAGTGTCATCAGCATACTGGTAGCACTCAAGCCCAAAACCTCGAACCAGCTGAGCAAGTGGGCGCATCAATTTGTGCTTGTTGCATAAAGTGCAATATTTTCCAGCTATTTGTGTTCCATCAACATTTCTCAGATAATATCTTTTCTTTAAAGGATCACAGTCTTCTATCTGAATAGTTGTTGTTGTTGTTCATTCGTTCAGTCGTCTCCGACTCTTCGTGACCTCATGGACCAGCCCACGCCAGAGCTCCCTGTCGGCCATCACCACCCCCAGCTCCTTCAAGGTCAGTCCAGTCACTTCAAGGATGCCATCCATCCATCTTGCCCTTGGTCGGCCCCTCTTCCTTTTGCCTTCCACTTTCCCCAGCATCATTCCCTTCTCTAGGATTTGCTGTCTCCTCATGATGTGGCCAAAGGACTTCCGCTTTGTCTCTCGTCTCCTTCCCTCCAATGAGCAGTCGGGCTTTATTTCCTGGAGGATGGACTGGTTGGATCTTCTCGCAGTCCAAGGCACTCTCAGAACTTTCCTCCAACACCACAGTTCAAAAGCATCTCTCTTCCTTCGCTCCGCCTTCCTGAAGGTCCAGCTCTCACATCCGTAGATGTGACTGCAGGGAAGACCATGGCTTTGACTATGCAATGGATCTTTGTTGCCAGTGTGATGTCTCCACTCTTTACTATTTTATCGAGATTGGACATTGCTCTCCTCCCAAGAACGAAGCGTCTTCTGATTTCCTGGCCAGTCTGTGTCTGCAGTCATCTTTGCACCTAGAAATACAAAGTCTGTCACGGCCTCCACGTTTTCTCCCTCTATTTTCCAGTTGTCAATCATTCTTGTTGCCATAATCTTGGTTTTTTTGACGTTTAGCTGCAACCCAGCTTTTGCGCTTTCTTCTTTCACCTTGATTAGAAGGCTCCTCAGCTCCTCCTCGCTTTCGGCCATCAGAGTGGTGTCATCTGCATATCTGAGGTTGTTAATGTTTCTTCCAGCCATTTTCACCCCAGCTTTGCATTCATCAAGCCCCGCACATCGCATGAACATCACATCTGAATAGTACATACAAAGGTATCGTAGGCACCAAATTAGTATCGGCTTCCTTCTGACTGTGAGAGCCGTTCAGCAGTGGAACTCTCTGCCCCAGAGTGTGGTGGAGGCTCCTTCTTTGGAAGCTCTTAAACAGAGGCTGGATGGCCATCTGTCAGGGGTGCTTTGAATGCAATATTCCTGTTTCTTGGCAGAATGAGGTTGGACTGGATGGCCCAGGAGGTCTCTTCCAACTCTAGGATTCTATGATATCAATAGGAGGAAAGCTCCTTCTCATGGAAGATGGCGCGAGAGCACCCCCTGTGGCCGGAGTTGAACACATCCTCCAAGACGCCAGAAATAAGATGGGAAAGACTGCCTTTATTGTAAAATTAAACGGCATTGAAGGTTTGCTGTATGTGTGTTCTGTAAAGCTGCTCCGAGACCCCTCCAGGGTGAGAAGGGTAGGGTATAAATAAACAAACAAACAAATAATGATTGTGTATTTGTGAATTGGAAATTGTATGCTGATTCTTTTAAGACGCTTTGAGTCCCTTGCAGGAGAGACAAAGCAGAGTAATAATAATAATAATAATAATAATAATAATAATAATAATAATAATAATAATAAAGACTTGTTCAGCTTGACTGATTCAGAGAAGGTCTGTGGAGTGCGGGGTGCAGTGGCTTGGGTTCTTCATGGGAGGTTGGATTTCAATCATGTTGATTCTCCCCTTCAAGACAGAGACAGCATCCACCCACCCCACCCCACCCCACCCGCCCTGGACCCCACGCAGCACAGGCCATTCTGCCCAAGGTTTGTGAGGAGAGGGGTGCCAGGACAGAGCTGGCTGCCCTCCTGGCCTGGCATCAAGGAGCTCTGGCCAAGGCTCTCGAGGAGACCTCTGGCCCAACAGGTGCAGATGCCCAGGAGCAAAGCCATGCCATCCCCCCACCCCCTCCCACCTGACATTGGGGCCCCCTTTGAAGCCCCCCACCCACCCTTGCAGAGAGAGAGAGGGAGAAAGGCAGGATACAGAAATCTCCAAGTCTTTATTGTTCCCAGGGAGGTAGCACTGCCCCAACCAGAGAGACATCCCGGCCCTGCTTGACCCTTAGAGGAGAGGGGTGTCCCCCAGGAGCAGAGGGGGCAGGGGACAGGCAAGTGTGACCCCTGACCCCACCAGGCCCCCTCCTTCCTTCCTTCCTTCCCCCCATGGGCCTCCCAGGTGAGGGGTGCCTTTCCTCCACAGAGAGAAGCAGAGACCGGAGAGGGCCAGTGGCCCCAAACCAGCAGGAGAGCACCCCATGGAGTCATCTCCCCAGATGGCAAGGAGGAGGGTGAGGGAGGCCAAAGGCAAGCGTGTGCAAGGGACTGTGTGGGGCAGGCCCACAGGCACAGGTCCCGGCCCCCTCTGAGCTTTCCGAGAAGTGTCCCGCCTGCTCTCCCGCCCCTCTCCCTCCTTCCAGGGGCCCCACGGGAGAAAGGGCCGCCCCACAGGAGCCCCACAGGCAGGCAGCTTTGTGGCTCCGTCCTCCTTCAGGGTGGGGGCTCTCCAGGCGGGTCTGAAAGGGAAGGGAAGAACACAACGGTTGGAAGGGAAAGCGCACCCACACTTATGTATACGGAGACGCTGGGGGTGACCCCGCACTGCCTCTGTTTCCAGGTCTGTGCAGCTTTGCAGCGGTCACGGCTATTGCAGCTCAACAACACCCCGCTCAAGGCTACGGTCCTCAAAGAGGAAACAGTTAGGGAATCCTTTTCCTCATTCCTCCCCAAATACCTGCCTGTCCTTCATCACTCTCTAATCCAGGCCAGGTGTTTTGGACTCCAAGTCCCACCATTCCTGACAGCCTCAGGCCCCTTCCTGATTGGTTACTGTCTCTAGCTTGCTGCTGAGACAAACGGTTTTAACTGCCACTTTCACCTCGGAGAGTGAAGAGAGTGCTGACTGGAAACAGCCGTTAGGAATGGTGGCGGTTGGAGTCCAAAACACCTGGAGAAAAGGTTGAAGTTGCCCCATGCCCGCTCTATTCCCTCCTGTCATCTCATCAATGAGGCAGACTCATAATTTCCTGGTTGCATACTTTTAAGTTCCCCAGCCCTGCCCGCCCTCCCCTAAGGGCCCCTCACCTGGGGGCCCGGCCTCAGCCTGAGGATCCTCTCCGTCTGGCGCCAGGCCGGCAAAGGCCGCCTCAGCCCCGTCTTCCTCACGAGGAGCACAGGAGGAGCGGGGGCACCGGTCCCCGGAGCGCGTCCTGCGCAGGACTGCCTGAAAGAGAAGCAGAGGGGGGCTGCATCTGGCTGGGGGGCTCACTGGGACCGGACCCCGCCCCCCGCCCCGCTTTGCCCAGAGAGCCCTTTCCTGACCTTCTTGCCGAGGGGACTGCTGGGGGCGGAGGCGCTGCTGTAGAGGCTGAGGCTGGAGCTGCTGGGCGAGAGGGCCTTGGAGGCGGGGGCCGACTGGCTGCTGCCCCCTTTGGCCCCTGGAGGGTCCGCGGAGAGGTACTTCTCATTGATCTTGACATTCGTCCTCCCCTTCACTGTGTACACATTTGGGGGAAATGGGGAGAAGGGGGCAGTGGACGTCAATCTTGGATTAGAAGCATCGGGTCCAAAGCCAGAGCATTCTGGGCCTGGGGTTTCATTGGCAGAAAGGGCTCAGGAGGCCGGGCCATGCATGTCCTAACACAAGAGCTCTCCAGCGGTCAGGGGCCAAGGGTCAGGGAGGAAAGTCCAAGTGATGACCATTATCTGCTGACCTCCAGGCATTACTGTCTGCTCTGAGGCAAGGGCTCAGGAGGCAGGGCCCTGTGTGTCCAGATAGGAGACTAACTCCATCCACGGGAGCTCTCCAGCGGTCAGGGGCCAAGGGTCAGGGAGGAAAGTCCAAGTGATGACCGTTGCCTGCTGACCTCTGGGTGTTATTGTCTGCTCTGAGGCAAGGGCTGTACGGGGCAAAGAGGGGCACCTGGAGGACTGGGAGATGGGCAACAAAGGCGACCTGAGTGCAGGCATTTCCCTCAGGATTCTGGGGGTGGGGGTGGTCTGGTGGCCCCCACCTGTGAGGCGAGGAGGGGAGGGAGCAGGTGGTCCTGAAGGTCACAGCGGTCTGAGATGACCTTAAAGTGGATATAAGTGATTTTAATGTTTGTTTATATTTAATGTCCCGGCATTGAATGTTTGCCGTATCAATGTTGTGCTTGGCCCCGAGTCCCCTGAGCCTTCTTTGAGGGTCTCTCTGTTGACCTTGCGGACCCACACCCGGCTCCTGGGCACTCACCTCGGCAGGGGTCGTTCTTCACCAGGAACTCGTCCAGCGCGATCCAGCCTCCTCCCACCCGTACCATCAGGGTGCTGCGCAAGATGCGGACCATGCGCAGCTGCTGGGACTCCCCAAACTAGAACGGGGCAGGGAGAGGACAGTCGGTGGGGACAGGGACTGAATGGCCAGTTGCCCCCAAAGCCCTAGGTGGATCCCCAAAGGGGCAAGGCAAGGCTTGTCCTCTGGTATTGGAGGGTGAGCCTCCTCTGGCCAGAACCCCCTGTAAACAGCCATGGATGCCCCACGGAGAGGGAAGTCTCCTTCACCCTGGAGCAGGGGCCTGAGGCAAGAAGAGGGGATGGAGGGATGCCGAAAGGCACTCACTCTGTACCGGTTGGCACTGATCTGCTCCACCTGGAAGCGCTTGGCGCAGCTGCATTGGGCCACCTGCCGGTTCACCTGCAACACAGGAAGACCGGGGTGGAGGAGGGCTCACTTGGGGGGAGGCCAGCTCTGGAACTGCACTTGGCGACACAGGAAGGGGTGGGGTGATCGATGAATCCCATTCTTCAGTGTGTTCCACTAGCCCACATGTGTTTGCAACAAGATCCTTAGGGCCCCTTCCTTTGCACTTGGCATTTCTCACGCCATTTACGGTAACATGTTTCCTGTAAATCTGGAGTGTCTTTCGCTTTGCCTGAATGGGAGATGTTGGGTTCATCCCTAGACTGCGCAAGTCTCTTGTGTCATCAAGTTTCCAGACCTCAATGAGCAGCGAGACTAGAGATAGGATTAGGCTGAGGGATTCCTCCCCCCCCCACCAGGGCCGGCCCTAGGTAATTTTCAAGTGCAAGCAAACAGTATTTTGGCATGTGTTTGCAACATGATCCTTAGGGCCCCTTCCTTTGCACTTGGCATTTCTCACGCCATTTACGGTAACATGTTTCCTGTAAATCTGGAGTGTCTTTCGCTTTGCCTGAATGGGAGATGTTGGGTTCATCCCTAGACTGCGCAAGTCTCTTGTGTCATCAAGTTTCCAGACCTCAATGAGCAGCGAGACTAGAGATAGGATTAGGCTGAGGGATTCCTCCCCCCCCCACCAGGGCCGGCCCTAGGTAATTTTCAAGTGCAAGCAAACAGTATTTTGGCATGTGTTTGCAACATGATCCTTAGGGCCCCTTCCTTTGCACTTGGCATTTCTCACGCCATTTACGGTAACATGTTTCCTGTAAAATCTGGAGTGTCTTTTGCTTTGCCTGAATGGGAGATGTTGGTTGGCCTTCTCCAACCAATCACTGGAAAAAAAACCCAACCGAGAAGAGCTCCTCTTTCTACTATGGAATACTAAGAGTTGTAGTTTGGTGAGAGACCTTTGTCGAAACTACAACTCCCAGGGCTGCCAGGGTCAGTGCAACTGGTGCCAAGCTGCCTTCATTCTGCAGTCGTGGAAATGCACCTCTGGAGATGCAGAACAAAGATGTGTCCCTGCCATATTATTTGCTTTGAAGTAGATTATATGGCAGTGTAGACTCTTATCATCCAGTTCAAGGCGGATAATGTGAGTTTTCTGCTTTGATCATCTGAATTACATGGCAGTGTAGAAGGGGCCGAAATCTCTTTTATGGAGAGAAAAAGCCGGATACAAATAAACATCATAATCATAAGAAAAAAGCACCCCCTCCCCTTCGACTTGGGGGTGGGGTGGAAGTGGGGTTCTTCTTCCTCTCTTTCCCGGATGTGGGAGGGGGGTTCCAGGAAAAGACCCAAACGGGGTTGCTTTTGTCTGTGCATAAAAACAAAGGCGCATTTGGCACAGTTGGCGAGTAAAGAAAAAAGTGCCTTCCTCCGCTTCTTTGGGGGTGGGAGGTGTGTGCAGAGAGGGATACCCTTCCTCCTCCTCTTCCTCTTCTTCCTCCTTCACTTCCTCCTCTTCATATTGGGGGAGGGGGACGGAGAGGGAAAGCAGGAAAAGATCGAAGAAAGGGTGCTTTTGCCCGTGCGTCAAACAAGGCGCCTTTGGCCGTGCGTAAAAGCAGAGCACATTTGGCACAGTTTGGCAAGGAAAAGAGGGAAACGTCTCCTCCCTTTTGATGGGGCGGAAAAAAAGGGGGGGTTCCTTTCTCTTCCTTCTCCTCCCTTTTGCTCCCCACAAAGATAATAAATGAACATGATTTATACCCTGCCATCATCTCCCCAATGGGGACTCGGAGCGGCTTACATGGGGCCAAGCCTGGACAACATATTATGGCAAAAATAAAACCAAAACATAAACAACAAGCGACATCATCAAAATTACATAGAAAAAAAGTAAAAATACAGTAACAACATTCCAAAGATGTTGGGAAGGTCTGGGAAAAGACGGAAAAAAGGCGGCATTGGGTATATTCTGACTGTGCGTAAAAGCAAGGTGCAATTCGCTGTGTGTAAAAAAGGCTTCCTCCTTTCTTTTCTTTGGGGAGGAAGCTCGTTCTTCCCCTTCGACTTTGGGGTGGGGTTGGAGGTGACTCAAGAGCACCCCTCAGGAATTTGCGCTATACGCAAATGCGTATCTTGCTTATTGTTTCAGCCGCCCTTGCTCCCCGTCCCCCACATTCCTATGCCTGTTTCCCAAAAGGGCATTTTTCTTTACGCTTCTTCCTTGCCACTGTCTCCTCCTCTTTGATGATGTAGCAATGGAATTCTGTGAGGGAACTTCCTTAGTAAAGGGTTTTTTTTAAAATTGCCCACAGGCTGGGCATGTGGTCTCCCCCATTTCTCCATTCTCTTCTGCTTTTCTTTCTACCCACGAGGATGCGCATTTTGCCTCTCTCTAGGCAAAATGTAGTTGCATGGACTTTTTACCTTTCTTGAAAGATGAGACTTGGTAAGCTAATTCGCTCCAAGGCCTGTTCTACCAATAAATATTTCTGAACCTAACGTTCTGACTCTACAACCCTGAAAGTACCAGACACAGATGGGCTTTCTCTATTTCTGTCCCTGCCTTGTGGGATTCCTTGCCGCCCTACGTGAGAGCCATGCGTGACTTAGGACCTTTTACTCTCGCACTTCAGACCTGGCTTTTTACTAGAGCATTCAATCTCTGTTAATTTTTAATTTCTGTATGTATGTAGTTTATCTTTTACAATTTAGCTTGTAAATCGCCTAGAGCATTCTGGGATGGAGGGTGATTAATAAGTAATTAAATATGATGATGATGATGATGATGATGATACATCCAATGGAATAGAAGCTTATCCCAGCTCACCACACCTAAGTTTCTGCTGGCTATGAAGTTTACTTCTGGTACTCTGTTATATTTATGGTGGAATCACCCCAACGGAGGGTTATTTTGAGACTAACTGCTCAGATTCCCTAACAGGAGATCCCTGCAATGGTTGGATGGTTGCTGCATAAGGACTCAAGGTGGTTAACTGGAGCGCTTATCCTTCTGCTGGGGGGCCCCACTACTCTGGGCAGGGCTGATTTCCAGAGACTGACTGACCCTCAGCCACCCTCAGAGCCAGTTTCTTTGGATCTGAATGCACTTTTGTGGCGTTAGGAGCAAAACTATGGCCTTGTTCCATGGAGCACTTATCATTCTACTGGGGGCCCTCACTACTCTGGGGAGGGCTGATTTCCAGAGACCGACTGACCCTCATTCCCCCTCTTCTTTGGATCTGAATGCACTTTTGTGGCTTTAAGAGCGAAACTATGGCCTTGTTCCATGGAGAAGGAATCTGGTGCCCCATTTGCCCGGTCTCCTCTGAGTAGTGCCCTTCCTGCCTGCCGCCTTGAGCCCCTCCTGCACCAAGGACTCAAAGTGGGATAAGAATAAAGCACTATCGCGATTGTACCTCATCCTGGATCTGGTCCGCGTCAGCCGCCCTGTGCATCGGATCCCGGGTGGGGTGCAGCGTGCTGACGAACTCGTAGTAGTCAATGAAGCCGTCCCTATTCATGTCGAAGATGTTGGCCACAGCGTTCATCTCCAGAGCATTGGTGGGGAACTCTGGGGAAGGGGACACACATGAGGGTGAGCAAGTGCTCCATGCTTCCTTCCCACAGCCATAAAGGATGGGCACTGGGGCAGGCTGTGAAGGGGCCCAGGATACACATGTCCCCCCCTCCCCAACACACATGTCCCCATCCCTGCCACTGCGCAGACTCACTGGAGGAAAGGACGCTCTGGATGAACTCCTGCAGGGAGACGCGCCCGTCCTGGTCCCGGTCGATGCCCCGGAAGATGTCCAGGACCCGTGACTTCAGGCGGCTGATCCACTGCAGGTAGCGCTTCCGCCAGACGGCAAAGTCAAAGTGGGAGAATGCCTCCAGCTTGGGGGGAGGGGAAGGGTTAAGAGAGGAGGGGAGAGGGCAACAGGGTGGGCTTAGGGTGAGGAGGGGCAAAATAAAGCCCAGCCCCTTGGCCAATCAGGAGGGCATTGGGGAGAGTCCTTGTGCCAGTCCCTCATCAGCCCAGGATGATGGGCACTCGGTCATGCGAGTGGAGCCAGCTGCCTTACCTTACCTTCGTGGGCCCTCCTTCCACCAGACTTTTAGGGTGGCCCTTAGAAGAAGAGGGGGACCCCAATCTAAACCTCCCTCCCTCTCTTTCTCTGGCAAATGCAGAGCAGAAGGGGTGCCACCCTTTCTCCTCACCAGGGGAGAAAGAGGGGTTGGTCAGTCTGGCCCCTGTCTTGATCTAGGGTCGTCTGCAGGTGGACAAAGGGGGTGACACAGTGGGTCCTGCCCTGGCAGTGAGGATGACTGACCAGGAGGTGACCCCTTTCCCACAGCTTTGTCCTAAAGAGAATGCAGGTGCACACAGAGCCACTGTTGTAGTTCAGCCTTTGATTGTGCCTGCACCTGATCTCTCTGGAGATTCTGGGCCTGTTAGTCACTCTGATGACACTGGGGATTCTGGGTCTGCAAGTCACCAGGAGCAGAAGCCACCAAGAGACTTGGAAAGGAGTGGTCTGTGTCTTAGGCCACATTCCAGAAAGGCAGTTTGCTAGGTAAGCAAGGTCAGAAACAGAACTGAGCTCAGAGGATGAAAAGGAAAGTCCAAGTGAAGAGACTAATGAGCGGTTAGATAGGAGATTGACATTCCGTCAACATAGAGCTTCTCGGGAGAGTTTACAAAGGCCAAGAAGCCTATTAGCCAAGAAGTTCTTATCAGTTTCCTAGGGGAGAAGGCACATTTTTTTCTCTATATTCACTAGACTGGGTTTACCAGTCCAGGCAACGTTGGTGTTAGAGTATAAAACTTCTGTCAACTCAAGGGATTTCTAGTTGCTTCATGTTTCCTTTTGTTGGTGTCTCATGCTTCCAAGTTTTTGACGACTGTTCCTGAATCTCCTGTTTTGGATTTATTCTGCTTTTGTATTCCTGGTTTTTGATGCTACTCCTGTACGATGATTTCTGTGGATTATTCCTGATATTTGGACTTTGGTTTTTTAATACTTTTGCTGAATTGCTTTTCATATTTATTTATTTATCGTATTTATATACCGCATTTCTCAGCCTGAAGGCGACTCATATATATTCCTCAATAAACTGCTTTGCTATTTTGCCTTGGACTAGAATGTGTGTTAAGTACAGAGGTGGTTCCCAGCCTTGGAATGCAACAACCAACGTCCTAAACTCCATAAAGAGGGGAACCCTGTATCCACCCCCCACCCCACCCCAGTACCTCTCTCTGGCGCTGCTGGGCATTCTGGAGGCGGTACTGCCGGTCGAGGGCCAGGAGCCAGAGCTGCTGCCAGCGGTGGGCCAGGAGGGTCAGGAGGGGCTTCTGGGGCCCCGGGTGCTCCTCCTCCTGGAGCCGGGCAGCAGGACCTCTGGGGCAAAGTCTCCCGATGCTGCGTCGCCCTGAGAAAAAGGAGGCAGAGCTCAGCCTCAAAAATAGGAGGGATGGATCCCGGGTGCCCTCCCCATCCTGCTTGTGGCCCCCTGGAAAGGCGGAGGAAGAACCCGATATGGGGGCTTTAGGAACCCTAGCAGCCCCAGAGGCACTCTGTGCACCCAGGATGGCCCCCAGCTCCCTCAAGACATCTGAAAGGGGTCAGAGCAAGATGTGAAGCAGCCCTGTGTGGTGTCCATTTGGAAAAGGGGAGACTTAGCAGTGAACCCCTCCTCTGCTCAGCCCTGTGTTTGTCCAAGAAGCACTAAAGTTGTGGCCAGTGAAGGGCTTCCCACCCCAAGAAGACTGGTCTGTGGGAGGCCAAGCTGGGTACCCCATCTGTGGCTCCATTGGCACTCACGGGAAGCCAGCCTGCGGGGGGCGGGCACTGCTCCCAATTCGGAGGGCGCTGGGGGCTTGCAGCTCTTGGTGACCTTCTCCACCTCTGGCTGCTTGCGGTTCAGTTCCTCCATGAAGACCTGGAGGGAAAGGCAGCTCCGCATCAGGAAAACTATCCGGCCCCCTCCTCTTCCTCCATCTCCAGCCCAGAAGAGCAAAGGGAGCCTTAGAAGGACTCTTCTGGTTTCTAGGGATGGTGGGCAGAAGGGCTGGGCATGGGCAGCCCCCGCCCTGCTCCTCTTAGTGCCCATGGGTGTATGTCGAGGCCACGGGGAGCATGGCTGCCCTCTTTGGGGGGGGGGGTTCTGTTCTGCTGCAAGGGCCACCCACTGCGTGCTGCCGGCTGAGCTCCTCCAGCTGCAAGGTGTCCTCCGGGAGGGGCTCCTCGTCCCTCAGGCCCAGGGCTTCCTCCGCGGCTCTGATCCAGTCCGTGAGGCGCGCCACCTCCTCCTGCTCTGCCACGAGGGAGGCCCCGTGGGCCTGGAGGCGCTCCTCCTGCTGCTGGGACCAGCTGAGCACCTGTCAGGGAGGCAGGGCAAAGGGATGAGACGAGAGGCAGGGAGATGTCTGTAAGGAGGGGCAAGGGAGGATGGCCGCTGCTCTATGGGCTCACCTCCTGGAAGCGGGTCTTGGTGATGGTGAGCCAGGACTTGATGGCGATGGCGGCGTCCGGGTGGCAGGCGCTCAGGATCTCCTCTCCCAGGGAAGCGATGCACTCCAGCTCCAGCTGCTGGCACTGCAGTCCCTGGCGCAGCTCCTGCCGACAGGAGGAGAGCGTGGGGAGGAAGGTCAGTTAGTGGGCGGTCAGTCAGGGCAGGGAAAGTCCAGGCACTGAAAGGGGAGGCGATGGCGCAGCCCTGGGGTGAGCGCCTCACCTTCATGTGCTCCTGGCTCTGCTGGATGGCTGCCACGTCCTCCGGAAGGGCCCCATACTTGATGGAGTTCTCAAGCTCTGAGAGGCGGCCCAGGAAGGAGTGCACCAGTCTGTGGAACTCCTCTGCCTGGTGCACAAAAGGGAGGGTGTGACGATGTGTAACTTTTATTCTTATGGTTATGTGTTGTTTAAACAGTAGTTAATAAATGGTAAGTATGTAGGATTATATTTTGTTAGAGATGGTGGCTGGTTTGGCTTGAGCTGAGTTGCCATAGCAATGGGAGCGGAGCCAACTGTCACTTCACGGGGCAGCTGTTTGAAATAGGCAGTCTGTAAGCCGGTGAGCTACAGGGAAGACTGATTTCTCTAGTGGAGGAATCAGGGAAGAGTCTGTGACCATTAGAGTTGCAAGAAGGACTGATTTCTCTAGTGGGAGAATCAGGGAAGAGTCTGTAAGCTGGTGGGCTACAGAGAACACTGAAATCTCTGGGTAGGAGATTCAGGGAACTATTTTGTGACCAAAGAGGTTACAGGAAAGGACCCGGTAGTGATAAAGCTACAGGGGATTATTGATTCTGGGTTAAGAATCAAGGTTTGGCTGGGAGCCAATTCTGTTAAGCCTTTTAGCTTATTTGTTTTATTAGGACAGTTGTCCAGGAAAGATATATCTGCTTACAGAAACCTCTTAAAGTCTGTACCTAAAGTTACTCATGAAACTTTACTAATATAACCAATCAAGATTTCTGCCTCTTGTGAAGAAACAATTGAATATGTTATACTCCTGTTAAATAAATTTGTTACTGTTCCCCTCAAGCCTTGCCTGATACAGTTTCTCCTAAGTCAAACAGCCTGTATAAGAAGTAAAACCAAATCAGGGACAGTAAACGCTACGCTATCAAATAAGTAAATCCTTCTTTGTAAAACAGCTCCTAAGTTGATGCTGAGAATTACTGGGCTTCCTCACAGATTAGGTGGCAGTAATTTTACGCTCCTTTACAGAGGGCAAGAATGGGCACCAGGAGCTCTGCCCCAGCCCCAGCCCCTTCCTTTGCCAACAGCTGCAGATACACCCCCTTCCAAAGAAACAAGACCCCTGGCAGAGGATGCATGGCCCTTTGCCACTGCCCCACAGCTGCCCACTTGCCTGCCTGAGGGCGGCCTCCAGCCGGTCCTGCTTGGAGAGGGAGAGCCGGCAGATGAGCTCCCAACGCAGGCCCAGCTCCTCCACCTGGCTGTGCAGCCACTGTGCATCCCCTGAGGAGGCTCTGCCGCCACTGTCATTCCCCCGGATCAGGTCCCGCATGCAGCGCTGCAGTGCCTTGATGCAGCTCGCCCGCTGGCCCAGCTCCCGTTGGAATGCCTGCACGCGGTGGGCAGGTTCAAAGGGTGGGAGGGGAACAGGAACCCTAACCCTAACCCCAACCCCCACAGAGAGGGAGAGGGGGAGGGAAGCATACGTAGGAAACTTGGGATCCATAACATCTATGAGGTTGCTGGGAAGAACACAAGCCACCCTTTCTGCTGTGGGTCTGCTTGTGGGGTTGGCAGTGGCCCCTGGCCCGCCCCACCTCTCTCCTGGTAGAGGGCCCCCACTTCCCCCATCTCTGCCCATCTCCCTGGCTGCCCAAACATGCAAGCCGCCTGCAGACCTTGTGCTTGTCCATGAGGGAGAGGACCAGGTCCCTGTCTCCAGCCACGGGGCTCTCCTCGGCCAGTTGTGGCTCCACCTGGTACAGCCAGTCCATCAGGGTCTGCAGAGCGTCCGTGAAGCGGCCGGAGAAGAGCAGGCTCTCTTCCAGCTTGCGCTGCCTGCCGAGGGAGGAGTTGGTCAGTGGCCTCCAGCTTCTCCTCTGCACCGGACCACTGAATTCTGCCAGCTGCAGGGAGCCCTTCTGTGGCCGGGAAGGGGCCCAGCCACACCCAGATCCAAAGGGAGAGGCTGAGAAAGTGATTGGCTACTCTGGACTGTGTCCAGGTACAAAATGTGGACAATGGGGGCAGCGAGGATGGATGACCATCAAGCAAGGGGGAGGCTGCAGAGTCATTGTGAGGGGGTCCCATGAGCCAGACCACTGGGGAGTTCTGGTGCAAAAGCTCAGTCTCACCCTGGTCATTCCCCTCCTCCATCCTTGGGCCCTACCTCTCGGCCGCCCAGCTGCTGACCGCTCCCCAGCGCTCCTTCAGCTCCCGCAGCATCTCCTCCAGCGACTGGGCATCCTCTGGCAGTGAGGCCTTCTCACGGAGGAGGCGCCCGCTCCGCAGAGTGGCCTCGTACACAGGGCGCTTGCTGCGCAGGCCCTTCTGAAACTCCTGTGCGGAACAAGGCGGGACGTGGAAGAGATAGAGAGAGAGAGAGGAGAGGGCATGGGTGTCCACACACGCATGCTTGCACACAAACATACACGCACACAGGGCACCTGTTGCACTCCAGAACAGGAAAAACCCTCTGATTTCAAAACACTACACGTTGAGTAGGAAAAAAATCCTTTTTTCTTGAAGGTAAGTAAAGGCAGCAAAGTAGAAAAGCACTTTAAGGGAATAGATAAATCCAATTAGGTAAGAAGATAAGCAGGAACAAATTAGTCCAAGGTATATGTTCAGCAAAGTTTAAAACGAAGTCCAGACTTCTCTAATAAAATCCAAGGAAACAGGGAAATGTTGATCCAAGGCATGGGTATGTGATCACAAGAGACAAAGAGTCAAACCATACAGGAAGAAATCCTTAAACATGAATCTTCCAGGCAAGGCTTTCATACGACAAGAACAAGGACATAGCAGGGATCTGAAATGATGCTTCATCTGACTATATTTCCAATAGTTGAAACTTTATATCCCCTCGTTAAGACTCAGAAACTGGTTTCATTTTCCCTGAATGCCTTTCATCCTTATCTATCAAAGCCTGGCAGAACGCAGAAGGCGTTGGTCGAGCTGTCTGTTTTGGCTAATTTCCACCTGCCTATCTATACTCTCATTAGTCCCTTCAGGTGCCAAGTTGTTTTCAAGCCCCAAATCCTGGGAACTCTCGGAGAGCAATTCCGGGAGTAAACCGTCATCCCTATACCCTGTAGGAAAATTCTCATGGGAAACTACACTTTGAACAGGTGTCTCTATGTCATTCTCTGCATCAATATCATTGACCAAACCATTGCCATCTTGACCCTCATTGCCATCATTCCCCACATCCAAAGCACCTTGATCTTGAAACACAATCACAGGCTGAATTCCAACAGCACCACCTACTAAGGATCCCCCCAGTTCTTGGACTTCTGGATGTGAAAGAAGTCCGGGTGATGATTTGGAGGGAGAGGTACCCCCAAACATGCTCCTGTGACCCTCCAGGACTACCTAACATCTGGAGGGTGGGGGTCAATTGGCATTTGCCAGCAAGAAGGCTGCACTTGGGCCAGAAGTCTGCCCGTCCACTTGTGCCACTCACCTTGTGCTCCCCAAGAAGGGTCCTGATGGCCTCTTGTCCCGCGGCCACATCGCTGGGCAGCCCCTGGGCCAGGTCCACCTCTTCCAGCCAGTCCAGGAGGAGCTGCCAGGACTCACTGAACTGCAAGACCGAAAGGGGGGGCTGCTGTCAGTTCTCCCCCTCCCCAGGACAGCCCCCCCAAAATGATGCAGGGCTCCAGTTAGCGTCCTCTGTGCTACACCCCCCCCCACCGGCCCCCCAATGCTGCCTGGCCTTAATGCAAGGTAGGTACCTGCCTGGCGCGCTGTCGGGCTTCCTCCAGCAGTGCTCCCCTCTCGGCGACTTGCTGGGCCACTCTGGCCAGCCGCTCCCTAGCACTCAGTACCAGGCTCTGGACAGTGCTGCGGTCCTGCATACGAGCAGCCAGCGCCTCCAGGCTGGCCAGCTTCTCGCTCTGGGAGTGGGCTTCCTTGGCTAGGGCCTAGAACCACAGTATCATGGCTAGTGGGGCTACCCAGGACCACCCCTGCCCTGCAGGGAGAGGAGTGCCTGTGTGCCCAGGACTCCACTGCTTATCCCATCCCACCCTCTGCTTCTGCCTGAGGCCAGGGCAGCCAAGCCCAAGTGGCCAGGGCAGAGTGCCCAGCGGGAGGCTAAAGCCACAGGAAGCGCTCCTTGCGAGGGGTGGGTGTGTGCCCTGGGGGCGGCAGGGACCGCTATCTCAGGCTGACCTTCTGCTCCTGGATCTGGTCAGCGATGGTCTCCAGGACACAGCTGGGGGCAGGAAGGGCCCCTAGGGCCTCCTCCGTCCGCTCCACCCAGGACAGCAGTTGCTGGACGGAGGAGTGGAACTCAGTAGTGACCGCCAGGCCTTCGCTGAGCTGCTCCTGGAGGAGAGGGAGGCAGGCAGGCAGGGAGAGAGAGAGAGAGAACATTGTGGCTCTGCTTCTCTTCAAGGCAGGCATGAGCCAACTTCAGCCCTCCAGGTGTTTTGGACCAACAACAACTGATAGGTTGTTAGGAATTGTGGGAGTTGCCCTTCTCGAAAATACTTTCTAACTCCGATTTATTAGAGGCAAATCCTACTTTTGCATCCTTCCTAAATCTGTCGTGTAGTTGGAAAAAACTGAACCAATCTTTTAACCCAGATATTAGGCAACAAAGACCTAATATCCAGACTTTACAAATATATTTTAGAATATAATTTAGTAGACAACCAAATAAAATCCGTTATGATCACGTGGGCCCAAGATGTTGGCAGAAATATCGATCTGGAAGAGTGGGAACGTCTTTGGAATAAGGGCTTTAGATTCTCAGTGGCCAGCTCAATTAGAGAAAATATGTTTAAAATGTTTTACAGAACCTATATAACCCCGGAGGTACTAGCTAAAATAGAGAAAACAAGACAAGGGGCTTGCTGGAGATGCAAGAAGGTGAAGGGATCTTTTTTCCACGTATGGTGGACCTGTAACGTAGTTAAAGAATTCTGGAAAAAAGTGATGAAAGAAACAAACAAAATGATCAGCAAAAAAATCAAGAAAAACCCAGAAATGTGCTTATTAGGAATATTTAGGAGGCGTATTAGCACAGGAGATGAAGAAATTTGTCAGTATTGTTTTGTTGCTGCGAGACTAATAATAGCTAAATCGTGGAAGGGGGAAAAAGAGTTAATTATTAAGGATTGGAGAGATAAATTAGTAGATTATATCCAAATGGCCAAACTGACAAATAGCAGCAGAGGTGGAAATAATGAAGAATTTGTTAAAAAATGGAGGTTGGCAATTGGATATCTCGAAAAGAAGACAAAAGTAGATTTGAAGATCGCCATAAATGGGATTCAGTGAAAGAAAACATGTGGGTAGTTGTGGGTTAGTTATGTGATCCACACGGAGTGGTGTCGGAGGTCATGGGGGTTGGGTTCACGGGTGTGGGGTTAGAGGGACAATAAATGTTAATGTATTATAACTGTACAGTCAAAGTTGATTTTTTATATGTTTAATGAGCGCTGACTGTATACCATTCTGCAAATTTGCATACTCTTTTGTATATCTTTTTTCCCCTTTTTTTCTGTTTTTTTTTCTCTTTCTTTTTTGTTTTTTACTTATTTCGGTTTTTCTTTGGTGTCGGTTTTGTTTTCTGTATGCAAACCAATAAAAAAAAATTAAAAAAGGAATTGTGGGAGTTTAAGTCCGATTCACCTGGAGGGCCCAAGTTGGCCCATGCCTGCCCCAGGGGCACCTAACCCCAGCTTCAGCGGCATCCCCGCACCTTCCTCTCCTGCAGCTGTCCGGCCACGCTGCCCCACTTCTGTTCCAGGAGGCTCAGGCTGTGCTCCGTGCTGCTACTGCTTGAGGGCCGGGGAGAATGCCCTGCAGACAGCAGCCGCTGCGCTGCCTCTCGGAGGTTGTTGAACTCCGGCTGCTTGGCCTCCATTTCCTTGCAGAGCTCCTGTCGCAAGGCAAAGCCCAGGGTGATTTGCCATCAGCCCACTTTGGCATGGCTTTGAGCAAGGGCTGGGAGGGGGAGGGAGGTCCCTGAGGGTCCAAGGACTGGTGGGATCTGGACCCAGGCTGGGGGCGCTCACCATGTGGGCGACCAGCTTGTCCTTGGTGGCTTCCGGCTGGCCCCAGACCGGCTTGTGGAAGCAGAGCTGCAGCTCCACACGCTCCAGCCATTGGAGGAGGTCCGTGATCTCCAGGGTGATGTCCTGCACCTGCAAAGGGGGGGGGGGAGGCAAAGAGAGAAAGAGAACCCAGAGCCAAGAAGCCCCTCCACTCCACAAATAGGGAGGGAAGGAGAGGAGGGGGAGGGTCCCAGAATGCTTTCAACTGCTCAGGCCCGTAGCCAGGATTTCGTTTTGGGGGGGGGGATGAATTTTTTTCAGGGGGGGTCGGGGGGCTGAGTTTCGGGGGGGGGGCTGAGTCTGAGTGAAAGAGGGTCTACCCTAGCAAACCTTTTGTATCATTACCCCAATACCCCCATGCATCTGGGATATATTGAGTATGGTGATCAGATCATGATATGAATAAACATAACAGTTTAAATAATGCACCAGTAAGGCCTTTTCGCGAACCACCATGAGAATTTCGGGGGGGGGCTGAAGCCCCTCAAGCCCCCCCCCCCCCGGCTACATGCCTGCCTGTAGCCTTTGAAGGCCCCTGAGGCAAGGCTGGTTGCTCCCAGAATAAGCCTTGTTGGGGGGCATGTGGAATGACTGCTAGATCAGCGACCCCCCCCCCCAAAGTGTCACTCAGGCCCCACCCCAACTCACCTGCCCCAGGTTGCTCTCCAGCTGCATCTGCCGGCTCTCGGTCTGCCCCAGCACAGCGTCCCAGCGTTGGCTCAGCTCCTGGAGGCGGCCCTGCAGCCCTTCTCCGGCCTCTCCCTCGCCCCCGGAGAGCAACAGGCCCTGGCCAGCCTCCTTGACCGACTGGACCGTCCGGGCATGGGACAGGACGTCATTCCGGAGCACCTGCCGAGGAGGAGGGGGCAGTCGAGAGGCCTGGCCAAAGGAGTGCTCTAACCACCCCCACCCCCGCCCACCCCGCTCCTGACCTTGTGCTTCGCCAGCTCGATCTCGCAGCTCTGGAGGTCCAGGGAGAGGGCGGGGGGCTCCGCCAGCAGTTCCGTGGTGCGCAGCAGCCACTCCAGCAGTTCCTCCAGCTGGCTCTGGAACTGACCCAGGCCCAGGAGGGAGGCCTCCAGCTGGTGCTGCGGAGGAGAGTGGGAGTGAGTGGGGCCTTGGCCTTGTGCATGTCAGGATTTATTGAGTTATGTATGTGTTTTAAATGTACTTCTATGTATTTCAAATATGGATGCCACTGTGAATTGAAAATGCTGTGTAGAAATGTTTAAAACTGAGGCTGTGATTAAGTGAACTTGAGAAAGAAGATAATCTTTGTTCTGGTGAGAAACTAAAGGGAGTTTCCAGCCTCTAACAAGAGAAGATAAGCACATGTGAAGAAGTGTTTTGGCTTTCGGTTTTGACTAGTTCTCTTCCTGTATGTAGCTCGCTGAAGTAAGATGTGTTTGCTGTGTGTGCTTAGTAAAACTTAATTTTCTTTTGTAACTCAAAGCTTGCAGAGTCCTTATTTGCAACTCAGTGTCTGTTTGATATAGCATTCCTTCCACTGGGCATCGTCAATCTCTGACAGTCTGGTTATGGGCCCTCGATACCCAGTAACTTGGAATTGCTATTGATCCAGATCTGAAAGCTTGGTGACCAGAACCGGAGTTGACCCAGTTGACTCGGAGGTGTTGCTGGTGAAGAAACTGGAATGGCAGGACTGCAGCGGAGTGAAGTGGCTGAGTCGCTGACCAGTTTGAAGTGGACTGAATACTACAGCTTTGGTGAGTGAAAAGATCATGGCTGGAAGCTGGGAAATATAATTGATGAACAGCAGAGCATGCTGAACCCATTAAAAAGTGATTGATCTACTTTGGAAAGTGTGAAGTCATAAAGTCATTTAGCCAGAGGCGACCGCCAGATGCTGATGATTGTCTAGTGATCATTCGGCTGGGCTTGAAACTCAGGTGACCGAGGGTCTCCAGGAACCTGTGCAGACAGCTACTTCGATGCAGCATCTGACAGTTACTTTTGACAGTGCAAACCCCTTCACAGACCCACCAATGGAGAGCGGGGCAAGAAGGGCCACCTCCACCCCAGCAAGACACTCCTATGGCTTTCACCTGCCCGAGAAGAAGCGTCCTACTAACAGTGATGGGGGCAGAGGGAACCCCCCATCTTGTTTTCCCCGTGCCTTGTTTTCATCTGTTTCCTAGATCGATGTGCATCTCAAGGTGTTTGGCTTCCTGCCTTCATGGAGAGGCCACTTCCCCCTCCTTTTCCCCACAAATGTTTAGTGTGCTTCACTTCCCTTTGAATTAAGAAGGGAGCATCATGAGGCCTGTCTCTGCCTCAAGACACAGAGAGTTGGCATCAGGGACCCTCCTATCAAAGTTAGGCAACCTTCCTTCATCTTTCTACTCTTTTACCTGAACTGTTACACCTGTTGATAAACTCTACAAGCTAGCTGGCATTGCCCCCCCCCCCTCCGATGTGTGATGGGAAGTTGCTGCTAAATGTGAGAGAAATAAGGTTGAACCCTGTGAAAACCACCCACTACATGGCTACCAGCCTCCTCCCAGTAGACGCAACTCAAGGGAAAGCTTTCTGAGAACTACCACTTGGCGTCCCCCCAGCAACAGCAAAGGTATCCCTCTGGGCAGCTAAATGCTATTCTGCTAGAGATGCCAAATTTCCCTATCAGAAGAGAAACTGCAGCAACTCCTCCTGCTTTCACATTTCTTTGGTCCAGCCCCACCCGACAACAAACATTCACTCTCCACCATTTGAAATTCCATCCAGCATATTATGTTGGTTATGGTCTTGGGTGGTGGGTTCTGTGAATGCTCTCTGAGACTGTGTGCATATGGGCCTGCATGTACAATGCACAAGTTCAGCCTGAGGCCCTTCCTTTGCATGGATATCCTTGTGCCACCTGTGCGCTGGGCCCTCTCTCTTGTCCACCCAGGAAGCTAGGCCACACATAGTCCTTGCCCTCTTCCTGGGCTGCTGTTCCCCTCTTTGCCTGCCCCCCCCATGGCATCCAGGCCCAAAGGCAGGTCCTCCTTGCTGCTCCCTGGCCCCTCCCTCCCTGACCCCAAACCTCTGCACTCCCAGAAGGGGGGAGGGGGGGTGTCACAAAAATTTAATATGCAGATTTGATAAATGTAGATGGAATGGAAGAATGGAAGTTGTATGAGTGGAGTTAATAATTTTGGAAAGACCAGTATAATATTAAGCCCCGCAATGACTAATTACCTGCTTGCTGGACTGTAATTAAAAGTTGCTAATAAGAACTGAAAAGTAAACTCTGATAAGAACTGGGACCGTGATAACAGAAATGTTTACGAAGTTAAGAAGGAAGTCAACACAAGGCTAACACCAATCAAGAAGAGTCAACATCTGGCCAGGAAACTGGGATGGATCCAGGATGGAAGACGTCTTTCATTCATTTACAACTTTAGGATGACATCAGCAGAATATTCCTATAAAAGACTCAGTCTAATAATGCTCAAAGTGTGGCAGACCTGAGGAGTCTGGTTCACCCGCCATGCTCTGCTCCATGGGAAGGAGAGAGATGGTGTATTTGGAGAGTGGCAGATTTGCATGGGAGCAGCCTGGTCACTTTGGGGCTTCTTTCTCAAGGGAAGAGGAAGAAGAAGTGTGTTTTTGGAGTCTTGGATTTTGTGCAGGGAGTCAGGTTCCGCTGTGTGGAAAACAGCATTAGCATTGTGCTTAGGGAAAGGATGCATTTTGGAGTTTTGAAGTTTTGGAACTGTGCGTTGGAAGGGCTGCAGGGAAGCAGGGTCTGGCCTAAGAGGTGCTTCTCCAAGGAAGGAGAAAAGGATGTGGTAATATCTGGATGCCTGAGGATGAATGCGTGTTCATGTGGCGTGAATGTTGAATGAAAATGTAATTTCCCTATGTTTGTTTGTTAGCCATGAAATTGTGAATCCATTGTAGTTGCATAGAACCTGTGTGTCTGTATGTCCAATGTTGTTCTTTCTCTAAATGTTTTTCTTTCACCTGATGTCCCTTTTCTCTCACACTGGAAATTGCAAAAAAAAGAACCTATGCTTCAAAGTCATTGAAAAGTCATTCATGACATAATTGGTGTCAGAATTGGGATTTTTTTTCATGTGTGGGAAAGTTATTCATAACAGAGGGAGGAGCCTCACCTGCCGCCCTACGGCCGCCTCCTCCAGCCGGCTCCAGCGTTCACGGAAGTCACAGAGGGCCTTTGGGGGGTCCTTCCCGTCAGCCCCCCTGGGCCCCGCCTGTGGCCGCGCACTCTCCACCTCCACCTTGCGCTGGTACAGCTCCCTCTTGAAGTCCTGCCAGGAAGGGAAGAAAGAGTGCCAGGAGGTATCTATCAGAGGTGCTTGCTTGTGGGCAGCAACGGCCTTCCAGGCTCCACGTTCTCAGTGCTGTGGACTGGCAGGGCTGCGGGTGTCTCCCAAGGAGGAGACGGCATGTGGCACTGAAGGAATTGCCAAGGAGGGCACAGCCTCTGACCCTCAACCACCCATGGAGCACAGGGAGGCTCAACCTCCGGAATAACCATGGGCAAAACTCCCTCCCAGCCACACTGTGCTGAAGTGTCTGCGTGAAGCCCATCCCATGTCACTCTGTCCCAAAGACGCGCTCTGACCTTCAGCTCCAAGAGCTGCTGCTTCACCAGCTCCGGGTTCCCCGCCACAAGGAACGCCTCGGCCATCCGCAGCTCTGCTTCCCCCAGCCAGCCTAGGTGCCTCTGGAGAGAAGGCAGTGGGGGCAAAGGGATGGGGGGACCCGTATGAGTGTGGTCTGTCTGGGAGCAGGAACGGGGCCTGCCAGGTGCCCAATTCGAGCCCACACTGGTTGCACCAGCTGGGGTGACCTGCCACCCCATGTTCCTCCGGTGACTGAGCCTCACCTGCAAGGTCTCCTGGTAGGCCAGGGAGGCCTGCAGCTTCTCCTCCAGCCAGGACTGCCGCTCCGCCCACGCCTTGCTCACGCCATGCCAACAGGAGTAGAGCTGGGCAGCAGGGAGAGAATTCTAGGTACCTCAGAGCCCTACAATCCCAAGATCCCCTCCAATGGTGCCGTGGCCATTGAAAGTAAACTGAAATAGCTGTGTGCGCGTGTGTGGTCAAAATGCTTCTAGTGTTGCCAGGGAGGCGCTTGCCCCTAAAATGCCCACTGATGGCCAAGCGTCACTGGGGTGCAAAGGCAGCTTCCTCTGCTTCTGAGGATCCCTCTGACCCCAGAGGAATGCTGTCCCTCCCACCAGCCCCCCCCCCACTCCTGCCCCACTGACCTCGTCCAGGCTCTTCGTGACGTCCGGCTTCTCTGGGTCTCCGCAGGACGCCATCAGCTCCACACCAAGGGTGCCCAAGGAGTCCAGGTCACTCTGCAGCGCGTCAATCTCCTCACGCAGGACCTGGATGGAAGAGGAGTGGGATGGGGCACAGAGTGACGCCCGTGGGAAGGAAGTAGAAGCCGGGTAGGGAGACGGCACACTGAGGCCAGACCAGGGCCAAAGAAAAGAAGGGGGCAGTGTATTCAAGCATACCAATGCAATTTCAACGTTTCTTAGTTGTTCACCCCGCAAGGTGACTTGATCAATTAAACTTGTCGTAAAAAAAGTCTCCTGCCTTAGTGTTTGATTGGATAAAAAAACTCTAAAGGTTTTGGGGTAATTAATGAGGGGGAATGAAAGCAAGCCCAGACATGTGATGTTAGGATCTTAAGTGACCACCAGCAGGGAGGGCATGGCGAAGAGAGTGTGGGAGACCACCCAAGGGAACAAGGGGGCACTGCGGACAGAGAACGAAGGAGGGAAGGATGAGCTCCACCACCGAATAGCCATGGCCACCACCAGGGGCTCAAGGGTCTTCTGGGGAGGCCCTGCTCTCGACTCRGCCACTGTCACAAGTGAGGCTGGRGGGGACGAGGAGCAGGGCCTTCTCAGTGGTGCCCCCCCCACTCCCCGGGGAGATTAGATCGTCATCTTCCCTCTTGGCGTTTAGGAAAAAACTGAAGACCTGGATCTGGGATCAAGCCTTTGGTCATTCTGACAGRTAACTGAAGGATCTGATGATAGARAAGGACAWATGGAATGGAATGGATATATGGACTCTGAACCCTGAGCATGAGATTYTTTTATGATTTTATTATGTACTGATGTTTTTAATTAATTGTTGAATTGTTTGTATTTGTACTGCTTGTGAATTGCCTTGGGCATCTAWTTGTGCCCCCACTGTAAGCTGCCCTGAGTCCCCCTCGGGGTGAGAAGGGCGGGGTATAAGTAAATGACATAAATAAATAAATAAATAAAGGGCTGCTGTGCATGTTGCAGTGGAAACAAGCTGCCACTAATTGGCCTATATTTGGTGCCTCAGGGCTCCTCGACCCCTAACCTCCTTCCCAGGATTCCTCAAAACACATCACAACGGCCGCTCTGACCAAGAGCTGTTCGAAGCCCATGAGGGCCTGTCCAGTACCTGCATGGCCTCCAGCCTGATCCGGATGGCCCCCGGGTCCGAGGAGGCCTCCATTGGCTCCATCACAGCCTGTTGGGTGTCACCAAGGGCAGCGGCGAGGTCCGAGAGGCCGTGCCAGAAGCGTTCAGCCAGTGTCAGGAGGCCCTGCAGCCAGCTCTCCCGCTCCTCGCCCTGCGCCCACATCTCCTCCCACTGGTGCAGCAACTGCTCCACCTGGACCTGGATCTCTGCACCCAGGGAGGAGGAGAGAGGGGTCAGCCGAGTCCAGCCCGAATGCCCATCTGCAGGGACCCCACCTTAGGCAGAGGTCAAGGGGAGAGCCTGGTGCTGTCCATACCTTCATTGGCACTCGTCTGCACGGTGGCCAGCAGCTCAGCCCCCTGGCCCCGCAGGGTCTCCAGGGCCACCCCCAGCTTTTCCAGTTCTGCCAGGCGCAGGCCGTTCTCCCGGAGCTGCTCCTGGATCCACGCCGGGTCCCCCCTCACAGCGGCCGAAGGGGGCTGCAGGCGGCTCCGCAGCCGCTCCAAGGACTCCACCATCAGTGCCATCCGCTCCGACAGCTGCAAGGGGAGGAGAGGCAGGTGAAAGGACAGACCAGCAGTGTGTTGGGGGTGGGGAGGCTCTGCTCCCAGTGCTGGGCTGCAAGGACCCCAAACAACCCAAGGACGGTAGAAATGCAACTATGCTTAACACTGAAGAACACCTCGCAACTGTCCACTCCATGGTGGGCAGCAGGAATAGGGTTAAATCAAGCATGGGCCAACTTCAGCCCTCCCTCCAGGTGTTTTGGACTTCAACTCCCACCATTCCTAACAGGCAGTAAGCTCAAGCTTTCTGGAGCTTGGGGCCTCCCTTGACCCTGACCCTGTGCCTCTCCTGGGGCCCTTTGTGCAGCTGCGGAGGGCAAGAGAAGAGGGAAGGAAGCCCAGCCAGGGAGCAACCCCCGCCCCGCCCTCAGCTCCTCCCTGACCTGACTGTATCGGGGAATGGCCTCCTCCAGGACCCCTGCGGCCTGCCGGACCCGCTCTCGGACACAGCTGTACTGGTCTTCCATTTCCTGGCAGTGCTGCAGAAAGGAGGCCGCCTCCTGAGGGTTGAGCGTGGCAAGCTGGGTGGAGACCCGCTGGAGCTTTGTGATGAGGGGCTTGTGCTCGGCAATGGCCTCCCGAAGTCCCTGCAGAAGGAAGGAGCAGAGTGGGCGCATGAAGGACGCGGTGGGTCAGGCGCACTGGGACAGCCCCCCTTCCAGCAACTCACCTGCAGGAGCTCCTGCTGCTCCTTGAAGGCCTCGCAGCTGAGGCTCTCCGGGGAGAACTGCTCCACCGCGCCCCGCGTCTCCTGCAGCCAGGGCCAAAGCTCCCCCTGCGCCTCCACAAACTGTGCCACTAGCGACTGGGCCTGCTCCAGGGACACAGCGCAAGCAGCACTCCGGCGTAAGAGACCCTCTGTGCGCTCCTGCAGGGGCTGAACCAGCAGCTGGGGAAACACCGGGCACAGAGTGGGATGGGGGGCTGTATTGCAGAGTGGACCTCACAACCACAACCTTCTCCAACCTGAAGGGGGTGGGCTGAAGCACTTTGCCCTTGGGAGTATGACAACATGGACAATGGCCAAAGAGGCATTGGCAAGCCTCCATATGTCCAAGCCAAATTAAACTCCAGTTCTAGATCTGGCCTGGAAACACCTTCAGCCCTAGAGTGGGTCATGCAGCAAAAAGGGTGGCATGGGGCCACTGCAGGTCAGGCTTATTCCCCTCTGTCAGGTTTTACAATTGCAATGTAATATAGCTGAGTCATGCACTGCTAATGGGCTTCTATTGGAAATGCTGAGTCATGCATTAACTGTATATAGAACTTCATTTGGGGAATGTGTTCTGGCCTAGTCCAGGTGATTGTGAATGATGCAATCCTGGGTTTGAGTTGAGTCAATGAGTTGGGAACCAATCGGTGATTGCTATGTGTAAATTAATTGTATATAAGGAAGTCATGTACAGTGTATATTTCTCCTTCTGCTGTGATGTTGTTCGTCGAAGGCTATATATAATTAAAAGAACCTGTCTGCAAAGACAAGAAATAACTGTATGCTGTGGTAAGTTTGTAGTGTCATCTAGATTGGGGGAGGGGGGACAATTGTAAAACTGACAATAGCCGGCCATGTGCTCAAGTGTCTGTAAAGAGTTCCAGAGTGACTGCAGTCTGTGGGAGCAGTTGACTGAAAAGACTGTGCAGGAAGAAGCTACTGGAAAGTGCTGAAGTTGTGCAACTGATCTGCTGCTGAACTGTGAAGTTAATCTCAACACCCTCCTCACCAAAGTGCCCCCACCCCACAAGCAGCCTTGGTTCAGGTGCCACCTTGCCCCGTCTGGCCTCACCTGGACCTGCTGCTGCACATCAGGAGGGAGGCGGCTGAGCATCAGGCCAGCGATGGGCACAAGCCGCTCCACGAGGCCCTGGTGGTGCAGGATACCTGCCGAAACCAGCTGGAGGGAGAGGAAGGGGAGTCACAGTGGCTGCCTCCCCTAGCAGCTTCTTTGTGGGGAGGGGAGAACCTTTAGCTTGAGGGGCTTGTGGGGCGGGGCAGTGGAAGAGTAGCCCTGGGTGCTGGCCTGCCAGGCCAAAGCCCGGAGGGTGCCTGAGGTTGGGCCCTTCTTGCACTTGGCTGGGGATGGCAAGTGCCCAGAGTGGCAGGGAAGCCGGGCCCACCTGAGCCAAGAATCCCCTCTCTGTGGCCCTCTGCCCAGGGAAACAGGGGACAATGTTTGGTGCTGCCTCCCCCTGTGACCCTATCCCAAGGCAGAGGTGCCAAGGGGTGTCATAGCAGGATCAAGTGTGTGTGTTAAAGAAAAACCTTATGATGTTAATTATTATGTGCAGCTGGTAATGTAGGTCAGCCAGCATGTTTGGGCCATACCCGATGGGGTGTAACTGTATGGATTTTAGAATGCAGTTTGGAGAGATTTGGAGAAGCAATATGCTGTAATGCTGCTCTGCTCTAACAGCAATGCTCTTTACTATGCTGCTCTGCTCTAACAGCGATGCTCTTTGCTATGGTAGTATAGCTATTTACTCAAGGGCAATGTTTTGCTTTCTCATTTGAATGAAGAGGAAGAAGCCTTGTTCTGTGTTACTTACAAGGACTATGGAAGTTTGTTGCACTGTTTGGTTTTGTATGCAAAACTGCAAGTTTATGTTTTGCCTCTGTTGATAAGAGTCAAGCTTTCTGTTCCTTTTTTGCTCTTGCCTGTGTGTCTATTGCAATGGACCTGGCTAAAATCCGCTTCTGCGCAACAAAGACCACTGCCTCCCCCCCCCTCCCCCCTGTACCTACCTTCTGCTCCTCAAGCTGTGAGAGGAGAGCATCAGCCTCCAGGTGCACCTGGGCCAGACCCTCCAGCTGTGCCTCCAGGTGGGACACTTGGTCCAAGGCTGACTGCAGAGCCACCTCAAGCTGAGGGAGAGAAGGACAGACCTCTGAAGGGCGGAACGGACTCCAGGGGTGGCCCAAGGAGTCACCCTTCTTCCTCCCCTCCATTGCTCAATGGGGTTGAGGCCCCTAGAATCTCATACACAAAGGAAGAGGAGGGCAATGACCCCAAGAGGCTTCCAACCCCAAAGACCAGGCATAGAGCTTCCTGTTGGCCTGTTTCCCAGGGGGACAGTGGGGCCTCCCTTCCAGAAGGATGGCCAGGAGCACAAAGAAGGGGCCACTGCAGGGCCAAAGCGCTGACCCAAGGAAGGAGTGGGCCCCTGCGGCTACCTTCTCCATGTCTGCGGGGGCTACAGGGCCTTCTCCCTGCGAGGGGAGCTCCTTCTCCAGGCGGGAGAGCCAGAGGGCCAGGTCCTCCTGGGCAGGCTCCAGGCGTGAGGAGGCCTCCAAAGCCTGCTCCAGGCGCTGCAGGATGTCGGCGCTGCTCTGGCTCACCATCAGGAACCGCATCCGCAGGGAGTCCATCTTCTCCTGGGCCAGGCGGGCTTCCTCCCCTGCAAGGAGCACCCAGCCCCACTTCAGCCCCAGTGGCAGAAGTAGCAGTGTCCTCCTAGTTCAAGGTGGACACCCCAGCATCGCTTTCCCAAAGAGACCGTCCAGGGAGAACAGGACTGTCCAGGAGATCTGCCCCTGCCTCCAGACCACCA